GTGTTTGGCTTCCCGAGCGTCCCGACCCATCGCTGGGGGATTCCTGGCTTTCCTTGATGCTTTGGCTGGATGCTTTGGGGGAATCTCAGTGCTGGGGTGAACATCAGAGGGAAGGGGCTGTGGGACCTTTACCCGCTGGCCATCTCAAATATACCTGTCACTGCCACCAGCATCGCTCGTCGGTCATTCCTCACCGTCCCTTCCAGCTGTCCCAGCGCCAGCGGGTGGCTGTGCCCCGGTCCCGGGCGCAGGTGTTGGCACCGGGGACAGCAGCCCGTGGTCCCAGGGGACAGTGGTCCTGCCTTCCCTGCCCGGGGCAACCCACGTCCTGCCGTGGGGTTAAACTCCCCAAGGAAAGGAGGGAGGAAGATAGGAAAAACAATCACAAGAATTTGTTTCATGCTGCCTGGATCCCTCCCCGCACACAGCAGTGTTTTTGGACGGCCAATTTATAATCAGCAGTGTGGAATGTTGTAAATTAAATATTTTTAAACAACTTTGCTCTCTCTCTGGTTAAACATTTCAGAGATCGCTCTTTCTTGTCTGTCTCTTGCTGGGTGGTCCCTCCATTCGCCCGTACATCTTCCTCAAACACAATTAACCATTTAGATGTTGCACAAAGGAATAGCTTATGCATACAACACCAGTCGCTCGCTGCTCCGGCGCTGGGGGAGGGAGGCAAATAAGAAGGCAGCTTCTTTTATTTTCTACGAAAAACAAAAACAAGAAAATCCCTTTTTCCGTCCCAAACTATCCCATTTTTCCGTGAATTGTAAAGGCGCCGATCCAAGCTCATCATCTGTCTTGGTGCTTGGTCCAACAATCCCCTTGTGTCCCCCCTCCCCTGAAATTCAACATTAGCATTTTAAAAGCCTTAAACATACAAGTTTGTTTAGACTCAAGCTCTCCCAAGCTCTTGCTTTCCATATTTATATACACACGTATTTTAACATATATAAAATGTCTGTCTATAGGGCCTGGAAGGAAGTTCTCGTCTGCCGGCCCGTCTGGGAGGCACAGGCGCGGCTGTGGACCTTGGCTCCCAGGAGATGGAGTGAAAACCAACAGGATCCAGGAATCGGCTGCCTGGCTGAGAGCGAGTGAGCCTCCGTGGGCTGGCTGCTGCGGAGGTCCTCAGGGGGTTTGCTGGGTGCTGGACCCGGGTGAGGGAACCTCCACGTCCCCAAATTAACCCTGCAGGTTGCCCAGTGAGAAGGACCCCATGCCCTGTGCTCCCCCCATGGCACTGGGGGGGCTGGGATGGGGCATGGTGGGCAGCCTGTAACGTCAACGGACCCAGCCCCGATTGCCCGCTGCAATGTTCAGTCCTTTAAAGCAGGTGACCAAAGGCCACAGGAATGACCGTGTGTGACAGGAGGGCAGCACCGATGGCCACCGTGGTGTCCCGGGACCCGGGGAGTGGGTTACACCACACACTGCACAACGTGCGGTCCTCACGCTGCTGCTGCTGGTGCAGGCGATTCCTCTGCGAGCCCCACTTGGGGCTCGATCTAACCTTGTCCTTAGCAAGACACCAGGGCAGGGTCCGGAGCAGCCACTGGCCTCAACTGCAGATTTGGGCTAGTATGGAGGCAGCAAGGCACCTCCTGAAAACACTGGTGCTCCCCAGACCTGCAGGGTTTCATAAGGAAAATTTGGGTCACCTGGGTTGAGAAGGTCCCACCAGCAAAGTCCGAAGGATGGACAGGGCACGGTGAAAATCAATCTTTCCAGGCAGTCAGAGGAAGGAGAGTGGGGTGCAGAAGCCAGCAAGGAAGCCAGCAGGAGCAACACAGCTCTGCACAATAAACCTTGGAGACTGGAGGCAGTAAAAGACTGGTGAGTCCTCGTGATGCCCAGCTCCAAGAGGTTCAGGAGAGTCCTACTGCTAGGGCTACACACAGGAGCATCAAATGGACAGGTGATGGGAGAGCCAGACCTGCGGACCTGAGACCACACGACTGCTCAGCCTGGCACTCCTCTCCCCTTCCTGTCCAAAAGCCAAAAAACTGTCCCAAAAGTGAGATCAAAGCCTGGTGCAAAGAAAGTTTTGTGTCCCCTTCAACACTGCAGGGGTGGGAAGCGCACTGTCCCCAGGAATGGCTAGTTGCTCGCCTCTGCCTTGCATGGCTCCGCTCCAAGGCTGCCAGGAAGATGGGAACCATCCACTTCAGTTTGGCTGCAGGAAGGATCAGATGAGCTGCTGCTTCCTGAAGGATCACAAGAGTCACCTACAGAAGCAAACATGAACAGCTGAGGGAGGAGAGCCACATCTCTGGCCATCTGTAACCGCCCAACAAATGCTTTTCCCAAATCTGTGTCTTGCAAACAGGCTTGGCTGCAAACATCCTGGGAAGGACCTCACTGCAGAGCTGCTGCAGGTGGTGCCCAACTCTCGCAGGAGCCAGGGCGAGAGGGCAGAGCTTCAGGAGCTCCTGCCACAGTGTGCCAGGGGTGACAGACCCACAGGAAGAAGTTTGGGCCAAGTCTGCGCACATGCTGCCACTGGGCTCTGCACCCACGCCAACCTGCTGCCCTGGTCACAGAAAAAGCCTTTTAGGAGCTGCTGGCAGGACACCGCTCCGTGAAACCGAGGAGCTGGAGGTGCTGCTGGCTGGGCACTGTGCTGGGCATCACGGCAAGCCTCTGCTTTACCGCGTGCAGATGTGGCACGTGACGTCACCACAAGAACCTTCTCACATCAACCCCATCTGCACACCTACCAAGGAAGCGTTCAGGACAAGCCTGTCGAGGAATTGCCAGTGCCTAAAGAGCTGGGAAGCTCCAGCTTTTCAGAGAAACGTTGCCTACAAAGCACTGCCTTGGTGCTAATAGCACCATGATGGGCACAGGCTGTAACGCTCAGCTGCCTGGGTGTGACAGAGCAGCAAAAGTGAGGAGACTTACTTGCTATTTGAGAGGTGACCTGTTCCTCAAAGCTGGTGAGCAGCCCGTACCAGTAACACTTTCCTGAAGGTCTGTATGACCTAGGACCAGTCAGTCACATCCAAAACTACCTGGGAACAGAACTCCCTTTCCTTAGTCGCCTCCCCAGTTTTCTGGAAGACCGTAACATTTCTCATTCAGTCTGTAAAGTTGCCTGACTCAACCCATCGTCTGCTCACCTGATGATGACAGCGGCATGGAGACCAGGTTAGATGAGGAAGGGTTAACCTCCCAGTGCCCGCCTTGGGATTCCTGAAGGCCCTATTATCCTGAATTATTTTTCATAATTACTGCCACACACGTAGACTACATCAAGAGTGAATCTTCACTTTGATAATTTGTGCTGTGAAATCTCACTTTGGGATCTACTTTTATCTCACACCAAACACCTGCAGGTCGTAAAAGGCAAAAAGGAAAAGAAAACGCCTCAAATCCCGGCCAGGTTTTCAAGTGTCAGAGAACACTAAATTAATGCTAAATTCTAACCGACACAGTAAAGAGCCCCCCACCCACTTCTTAAATTAGCTAAACAAAAGGACTGAGACGTTAACATATAATTACGGCACAAGGAGGTAAAGCTGTAGCTGTTAAGTAAGGAGATGTGGACTTTTCAGAAGTTAAGATGTATCCTAAAAACAGAGAGGGAGAAGGCTTTGTGTTTAAGCAAAAGGACCATGAGTCAAAGTCCCTGCGGACCTCTCTCGGCTTTGCCGCAGCCTTCCGGTAAAATGCAAAGCCAGGTAATTACGCTCCACTCTGCTGCTGTTTCTACACATCCACAATGGATGCCCCGCTCCCGGTGCCGCACAGAGAGACAAGAACTCTCTTTAATTAACCTTTGTGAAGCCTCTGCGATCCTTGGATGAAAAAAGCTTCGTACCTTAGGAACATGTTTGCACACATACGCACGGCAAAACCTCTAGCACAAAGCCTGAACTGCAGTGCGTTTCTTCTTTCTGCAGCTTGTCAAAGGCCTTGAAGCTCATCCTTACTGATATTTTCCATTCCAATCTGGTCCTTTAGAGGAGGGATTTTGTTTATGAAACTTGGGGAATGTCTGGATTATAATCTCTCTCCTGTCAAATTAGTTAGGAAATGGTAATTTTCCTTGGGGGACACCAGTGCCCATGAAATACCCATTTAAAATTTATCACTTCAGTTAATGAAGTATCATCCCAGCCAGTTGCTGTAAGCACCTCTGGATGTCAACCTGCCAGGGACAGATAAATGTCACGTTGAATCCTACTAGATTCTAATAAACAGCTTGTAGGTAGGAACTTGTGTCCAATTTATAAATGTTAAAAGAACAGCTTGTGTTTCAATCCCATCCAGGTGCTTTACAATCCTGGCACAACCCCTGACCACAGGGCTGTGTGTTTCACATTAGTGCGCTCGACTCATCTCACAGACGTAGGTATAGTAATCCACAGATCATCTAGATGTGGGGAGGGACCTCTTGTCGGGAGGTTAGGAACAGCGGACCGACAAGCGAAAGAATCACCAAAATAAGGCAGAGTACCCATTGCTCAGGCCCCACTTCCCCTCCACACTCCCCCCATCCCTCCATCCCGCTCACATACTTGCTCTTGGGCAGGATTTCAAAGGAACGTACCAAACCCGGCCCTGATGGAAATGGGTGCCAAACTCCTCAACTGCATTACAGAAGAGCAGAGAGGCAGCTTAAACACTTGTGTGCTGTGGGGCAGCACCATGAGAGAGAGGAGGAGGGGGCTGGCGAAGCTGCTGGGCTGCAAAGAGCAGCCCGCATTACGGCTGTGTTTCGCTGCCCGCCCGCTGCGTTGATGAGATGCACAAGCAGCATCCCGAACGGTTTCTCCCAGGCTCGGGGACAGTGGTGCAGGACTGCAGGGACGTGGTTTACATCGCAGGGAGGACGGCTAAGCCATTCTTCGGAGTGGGCACAGTCTGTGTGGTCCCCCCTCTCCCTTCTGCTGGAAAAGTACAGTGCGTTTGCCGGGCGCGCAGGAACCGATATTACCCGGCACAAACCCGCGTGCATCCCAATGAGGGGGGAGGGGCTGACGGACACACCGCTCTGTAAATACTTCTTTATTAAGACATAAATATAAAGCTGAACAGGAAAGGAGCAATGACAGGGTAAACCGTGCCAGTACTGATCTGTATGGATGATCTTACGATGCTTGAACATCTGGTTCTGCTGCTGGCTTCCATAAAATCATCTTTAAAACCTACTCGGGTTATATCTCCATCAGCTGTTCGGTGCCCACAATGACTTCATTAACATGTTTGGCTGCAAAGAGAGAGGGAGGAAAAGAAGAGGAATTGAGTTTTGCAGCAGTGCTTCAGGCCTTGCATTTTTCAAATCTGCAACTTTAAAACAAATGAGAAAAGCAGAACTTGAACACAGATTTGCTGTCTTTCTTTGGACTCCAGCGTCTCTCCAACAGTATCCCACACACATGGCAAAAGCCTAAGCAACTGACTAAACATCAGGAGGTTTCTCTAATGAGAGTTTTCACATGTACGTGTCACTACTAAACAAGAGAGGCCCGACGGAAGTCACAGCTGCTACTGACAGGTGTACATCCAGGTTGAGGCAAAGAACCATCGACATCCAACATGGAGATTGGACATAAAATTAAAGAACAGTAATCCTCTCCGGCCCTAAAGTGTGCTGCGTGCCCTCAAACTGCACAAAGGCTGGGGAGGAGAGGAGCTGCTCATCACTGGGGGACCATGACCAAGAAAGCATGAGACCCTCTCAGCAATCCCAATGCAACCCTGGCATCTTACAAAAAAGTGTGGGTTTGGTTTTTTTTTTTAATTTAGACCTGACTTCTCTCTCCTGGATTAAAAAAATCTGGGTGGAGCCTCTCCAAGTGTCCGCAAGAAGCAAGGTCTCTGAGCACAGTTATCATCTCTGAGGGTCACTGTGGACAGCCCACCTCAGACTCCCACCGAGAAAATTTGCTGGAGGAGCAATTTCTACAAGGTCACTCCTTTGCCTGCTCCCAGGAGCTCTGCACAGCCCCAGTGGACACATTAACGTGCCAGTTCCTGCCCCAACACTGTTAATGCACTGTACTGAAAGAGCCTTCCCTTTAAAATGCAAAAGCAGCTTCTCAGAGAAGGACTGCAAATAGGGGATCTAAAGCCAAAATAATAAAAACACGCAACTGAAAGCCCAGTGCCTAAAAACCCCAAGCGTGTGGCCTCAGAGCCTGACATAAAGCTGGTGTGCTCAAAGTGGGTGTCCTCAGGGTACCGTGAGGGGAGGCGGTGAATCTAAATCGACTCCTATTCAGGTGGAGCTCAGGTGGTTTGACTCATGCCCCTGGGCACTCCATCTCTCCTCCTGCACATCAGCAATAACAATTGGCTCTGGAGCCTGGGATAAAGCATCAAGGCCTGTGAGGTGCTGGGATACACTGATGGAGGCTGTGTTGTCTCCTACACCTTACACAGCAGTGGGGGTGGATAGCCAAGGGTGATGGAAATAACGAGTTGTGTTTTATTTACCCACCTAAAACTCCTCCCCTCCAGGGAGTGGATTTTGCAAGGCTGCTGCAAAACAACAAACATGCCACCTTCGGCTAAATGAAGAAATTCCTGGCAATCCCCAAACTGGCCGGGCCAACACGATGCTTCTCTTGGTTTAAAATTCAAAACGCTACCTTTACACCATGCAAACCAGTGCTCCAGAAAAGGTTTGATCAAAAACTGCTCTATAAACTTCAAGGAGTTTTGGACTGTGGCAAGATAATTTCCCACTACAACCCTAACCCCACCATCATACGGATCCTGCTGTCTCCTCAGCCTGGAGGACAGAATTGGGTTAGCCACATGATCACCTTTCAGAGACCCTTTGTGAAGCCGAAAAAAAGGAGATCAAGGAGCTGCTTCTCACCTTCAGCATCAGATCGAGTTACTTGGTTCTTTGCTCAGGGTATTTAGCGACAACTGATAATTAATCCCGGAGCCTCGTGCTAACATCTTGGAGCTCAAAGTTGGAACGTGAAGCCCAGTCTCCGGCACTTTGGGCAGGACGAGCAGAGGTGGATGCAGTGCTCAGGAAAATGAGGGACTGACTGTGCAAGTGCCAGGTGCAAGCGTGATGTAGGTAGCACCACACAACCTCTCCAGCACAGCTCTGCCAATAGCCCCAAGTCCAGCCTTCAGCGCCTCTCTCCTCCCGTCCCGGACCCCACACAGCTTTGCCAAGGTACCTCAAATCCAACCTGCAGCACTTCTTGCTATAACATTCCTCACCCCCAACAACTTTCCCAATATATCTCAAACAGGCCCTGTAGCAACTCCTGTGACTCCATTCCTGAACCTCCTCCAAGCAGACTACCTATCATGTTGATTTCTCTGATGTGAATAAGACCCTGGCTACCGTCCAGTGAGAGTAATTACGTTATGCCTCTGCAGATTAAACATGCCTTCATCTAGGCTTATAAAGAGCCATGTCAATTTATGGTTCTATATATAGGTTATCTGTAGCAATACTTTTTAACAAGGAACTTTTGGTTCCTTATTAAAGGAAGGTGGTACCAACTATTTGTATTTTGCACTGACATGCTTATAGCCGCCTTACAGTATCTTGCATTTTACGCCTGATGAGTTCAAAATGCTTTTCGAGCGTGGGCAAATAGAGCATTCCCATTTTATAGATGGGGAAACTCAGGCAGCAGTGAGTTTAGGGAGTTTAAGTGGCCAAAGCCATGTGGGAAATCAGAGCATGCATTCCCTCATCTCCCATCCCTCTGCCTGTTTTGTCTCCTCCTTGATCCCTGTGGCCCGGATTCCCTGAAGCAGGCACACACAGCCTGCCTGGTATGTCACTGCTACCTCAGAGACTCACATGAAATCACCAAACTCATTTCTCCGTGTACAGGCTAAAAGAAAACACATGAATGTGCCTGCCTCAAATCCCCCAGAAAGTTTTTAAGCGATAAAGGGAATGGTTTTGCTAGAAACAAAGCCTGATTCCGCACCCCGAGGGGATGCGATAGGCAGATAAGGATTCACCCTGCTTCCCTCTTCCCTTCCCAAAGCCCTCCTTGCGGAGGGAAGGGAATTCAGACTCCACTGTGTGTGCCAGAGAGCCGAGCTGCGGATAGCGTTTCATTATCAGCCGTGGCTGCCAGTTGCCAGTGGCTCTGGCTGGTACCAGCAAGCTCAGTTCATGCAGAAACTCTGCCTGAAACTCTGGGGGAGGAGAGCGAAGTACCTCACATGCTTAGCTGTTCAGCTCCCTTCTCGTTCCCCAGCTCCCCATTAGGGATTTCTTACCAGGCTGCCTTTTATCTGACACTGGCAGGGTTACAGATGCATTCAGCCCACAGAGAAAGAAGAGGGATTAGAGAAAGGACTTTCAGAAAGCCTTAGAGTTGGACTCTGCAACCTTAAATCATGTTCAACTAGATCTTCTCAGATTGGGAGCATCTGGTGCTAAGCAAATCCAGAGCTGATCAACACATTCAACCTCCTGATTAGCACTTTGCTTCAACTTGCTGACGCAGCCCAGCCTGAAGTCAGCCTGGGTGCTTGAACTGAGTGTCCACGGAGATTTTGCTGAGCATAAATCAAAAACCTGTCACTCATTATATATGCGTTCCTGCTTTGGAAGACATTTGTTTACACATACTGTACACTAGCCCCTTAAAAACATACGCACAAGGCAAGGAGAGCTAGAGAGCTGGGAAGCAGTGCAGTTTTTGGTGCTTGGCTAAAAACAAATTGTAATGCAAATAAACAGAGGGGCGGAAATGACTGCGCAGCCCAGCACAAACCCCACCAGCAGGCCGGGGGCCGGGGACCCAGCGCTCCCCAGCCTTCCTGGCAGGTTCCTGCCAAGCTGCTTACAGAAAGGGGATGCCGGAGCATTCCTTTAAAAGCTATGTGAAAGCATCTCCTTGTTGTTTGCTCAATTAGCCCCAGACAGATTGCTGCTGCTGCTGCTGGTGGCAATGCTGGGTTGTAAAGGAGGAGGGGAAGGAGGGGAAAGGGAGGGAAAGAAAAAAAAAAAAGAGAGAGAGAAAAAAAAGGTTAGGGCCTAGGCCCAGGACCACCACGAAGTTCCAGCCCTCAGGGGCTCCAGAAAACGTTCAGTTTACTCACTCAATTACATACACTGTTTTATAAACCCTTTAAAATAAAATAGAAAACAGTCCCTGGCACAGAATTACTGCTCTATTATACAGCAGTGATGAAAGCCACTGCTGTGTATTTGCTCTCTTTAAAGCAAGAGATAGTTTAACTTAAAAAACTAGGCGGGGGGGAGGGGTGGCTGCAGAAATGCATGCACGAAAACACGCTGTGGGTGGTTCCTACCACATTCACCCAGGACAGAAAGGATCAGACAGTGGGAGAGAAGAGCAACTTGTCTCTGCAGTGATGGTTGGCCCTGAAAAAGCAGCCAGGTTGGGGGGGGAGAGGAACTAAAGGGGCTTAAGGGGACAGGAAGCAGCTGAAGCTTGACTTTAGGAAGCTGGAGGGTGTTTTAAATTACATGTAGAGATAAAAAAGGGACGCAGGTGATGGGGGCTGATTTGTTTGTATTTACAGAGCAGTGGGGCTTTCCAGTCAATGCCTGCTCTCTCCCCAGCCATGCTTACTTACACCATCAGGGGTGACCACGCTGTGGCCCCAAAGGCCAGGAGCGTCTCACAGATTTCTCCCAAGCGCCATGTCAGCCCTGCTGTGCAGCCATCACCCGAGTCTGAGGCTGCCTGGGAGCGATGCTCCCCGTGAGCAGGGTGCCCCAGCCCAGTGGTGGGAGGTGCAACTCACCCCAGGGGTGAATGGGGCTGGTGACAGCTTCAGGTGGATCAGCTCTGGCCCGCAGCTGGGGCCTCCAGCCCACAGAACAGGCAGGCAGCAGAATCTCACTCCTGCTTTACACCCAACCCCAGCAACTGCCAGCGCACAGTGCCATGCTCACCTGGTCCAGCTGAGGCTTTTCGCATAGTACAACCAGTATTAACCCCTTCACCCTCAAACCCATGTGGGGAACAGACGCGTCTTGGGAGTGTAAAGGTAAAGGCACAATGAATTCAGTGCCTGAAGAGAGATGAATTTACAGAATCACAGAATCATTAAGGTTGGAAAAGACCTTTAAGATCATCAAGTCCAAACATCAACCCAACACCGCCATGCCTGCTAAACCATGTCCCGAAATGCCACGTCTACACATTTTTTGAATACTTCCAGTGATGGTGACTCCACCACTTCCCTGGGCAGCGTGTTCCAATGTTTGACCAGACTTACTGTGGCTTGGAGCAGATG